GCTGGCTGCGCAATGGGTAAAAACGGATTGGACTGTCAATTTCATGCAGCCAGGATCTCTACTTTAAATTGTAATACTGGCAACTTAAAAAGGAAAAGTAAAATTAATTTAAGACGAGGGAATAATAATTCTTATATCACGCTTTTCTATTTTTGTATCAAAATTGTCAAGATTGGATCATACCGTCCTATGTCTTAAGTCTTTTTATAATTCAAAAAGTAGATAACGGCATATTTTCCTACATTAATCTAGCGTTTTAACTGGAATGCAGCTTCTTTGGGTCCTACTCCCCAATTCGAACAAGGTTTTACTTATGCCTTCACCTAACTTTTTGAATTTGTGGTGCATAATTTTTTTTAGAAATAATTTTGATATGACTCATGTTTTAAAAACAACAAGTTATATGAGTATTAGTTTATTTTTCGTTTTCATAATTATTGACTGGAATCATATGTGACAAAATGTACTTTTCGTCTGCAAAAATATTCGTTTTAAAGTGCCATATGAGCTTAAATAGGGTCATACATAAAATTTGTCAAGTCACAAATTAATCGTAAATCGGATTAGTAGTGCTGATAAGCAAAAAGCAACAACATGCTCGACAATTACGGATAAGCAACATACTAATTGACCATGTAGAATTTAATGTGTATCTTGGCACCAACGTAAATGCAAAATGGGAACAGGCCACAGAAATTAAGGCGAGAATAGAACGAGCTAGAGCAGCATTTAGCAATATGAAAAAGCTCCTCATAGTTAAATGCTACATTTTTCCAATCTTACTGTATGGTGTGAAGGTCTGGACGCTGACGGAGACGCTCACGAGAAAACTGGAAGCATTCGAAATGTGGCTGGACCGAATATGTCACCAACATAGAGGTACTCCAAAGAATCGGAAAGGAGAAAGAAATCGTGAATACAATTAAATGAAGAATGCTTGAATATATAGGCCACATATTGAGACACGATAAGTACTGTTTGCTGCAATTGATTGTCCAAGGAAAAATAGACATTAAGCGAGGGCCAGGCAGGAGAAAACACTCGTGGCTCTAAAATCTGCGGAAGTGGTTCGGGCTTACATCGGTGGAACTATTCAGAAGCGCCGCAAACAAGATCAGAATTCAGAATTGCCATGTTAATAGCCAACGTTCGCAACGGACAGGGCACTTGAAGAAGAAGAAGTTGGTCCTAACTCGCCAAGCAACGTGCATGTGTGACGCTCTCTCAAAAATGTAGTAAGCGCTGATAAATCAAATATTGCGCTATATTCAAAATCCGGTATTGAACAATTTTGTAAAACAAACTCTTTTATTATATAATAGTTATGGTGTAAAGTATTCTCTTATTATTAAATGTGCTATAGCAATCGATTACTCTTTACTCTCCTCTTAACTACAACTTGAAAAAACCAAACACATACAGAATCAACGCCTTGAGCTGCTAATTTATATCAAAGGATTATTTTTTAACAGTTCCATGGTCTTAAAATATTTCGTACTGTACCGTCTGATGAAAATAATTCAATAAGCTTTCCTCAAACCATTAGTGGAGATTACAGCAAAATTTCTAATTATTTGTTTAGTCCTTACCTTGACAGATATTGTGTTTTGGTTTCGCGTTTTTTTGTACTTTAGTCTCAATTTTGCATATTTGGATGAACGTGGTTAAAAGACTCTCGAAAAGACTTTGTGTACCACTATAAACTCTAAAACCAAAAACCAAAACGTTTATCTGGTATTTGTGTTGCTGTAAACTACTGGACAAATTTTGGTGATACTTTTCATTATTAGAACTTGGCTTATATATACAGAGTGAACGGCTTTACCTAAAGCCTCTCTTTTTAAATATTTATTTGTCAACATTTACCTGTTGTGCTGAAAATTTGATTGCAAAATAAACTCAGTGTGACTTGGACTTTTATCGCATTTTAATAAACTAAAACTTTCTCGCCGTGTGCTACACATATTATTATATAATATTAACATTATTTACTTTATTCTTAACACATGCTACTGATACTACTATGTAATCTTCTTAACGTGCCCCATTCCCATTGACGTTTTCCCACTCCATTGTCTTAGATTCTTCAACCACGACGTGTGTTTTATACCCGGTCCTCTTTTGCCTTCCATCTTCCCTTGTATGACCAGCCGCATGCATTCGTATTTCTTGTTTCTTAGTATGTGACCAAAGAAGCTCATGCTTCTTTTCTTTATAGTGTCCAGTATTTCTTTATCTTTTTTGATTCTTCGTAGCTTTTCCGCATTTGTTATGTGTTGTGTCAAGATATTTTCCACATTCTTCAATAACACTACATTTCAAAGTTAATGAGTATTTTCTCTGTTGCCTCTGTAGGCCTCAACTCCATACAACAGGACAGAGAACACGTAGCATCTCAATACTCTAGTTCTAATTTCAATGTTAAATTTTCCATTGCATAATATTGCTTTCATCTTATTAAAAGCACTTCTAGCTATCTTAATACGCCGTTTTATTTCCGTACTTCTATCCCATTCTTCATTTAGTTCGCAACTGGTATCTGTGCACTCTGCCTAAAATTTTTCCTTTAGCATAAACACTGTCTCAATCTTGTTCTTGCTTACCACCTTGATTTTTGTTTTATTTGTATTCAGTGCCATTCCATACCTTTCGCAGTATTATGTAATGCGATCAACCAAGATCTGTAGTCCTTCTCTCCTATCAGCAAGGAGTATTGTGTCATTGGCAATGATTCTCACGTCTTCATCATCTAATTCTGTGTTTTGCAGCATTTTTGCCATTCTTCGGTGTTGTAATTTGTCGACAGCTTTTTCGAAGTGGACTAGATATATGAATACATCGCAATTGACATCTCCATTATATAATATAAACATAAATTCCTCTAAAGAAGTCGGTGTTTGCACGGACCTCAGCATATTTGGAGCTCGTCAATATTTTCGAGGTTGTAGCAGTTATTTTTGGAAGTAACACTTTCTATTAAAGTAGAAATGAAATATCTAAAGAAGAGAGAAAGCCACTGAAGGCCAAGATCGCGAGAATAGCAAACTGGCTGCTACACAACGTAGATACAAAATCTGTTGGTGTACAGTTTCAAGATAGGCACACTGAATTTGAAATCTGCTATCTGAAATATGAAGAGGTGATGGATCAGACTAAAGAAATAGATAAAACCGATACCAAAACAGAAGAGAGGATGTTCATAGAAAATAATACTTTTCTACTTTAGCTGGCTCATACCATAAGATCAAAGCTTGAAAATTAAAGGCAGACTCTCTCAGCCCAAACGCTGCTCCGACAACTGTAGCCACTGCTATAGTTAGGTTGACGGAAATTACGATGCAGGCATTTTCAGGAAACACTGAATCGAACGTATTTTGTCAGCGATTTGAGATGCTAATAATCAATAATGTCGAGCTGAACAATGTACAAAAATTTATCTATGTCAAATCGTTCTTAAAACACGAGCATCTACACTTAATTGACAACGTCAAAGTTATAGAATACAATTTCCAGATCGCTTTGGACACGCTTAAGAATAGATATGAAAACAAATCGCATGTGATTAGTTAACACATTTAAAAATTGTTAAAGGCTTCATTTCTAGTTAAAAGTAACGCAAAATCATTACGTGAATTTTTAACTCTACCTAAACAAACACTACTCGCTCTAAAAAATATGTCTGTACCCATCGAACATTGGGATTTACTATAAATTGAAATATTTGTACAATTGTGCAATTAGATTTTGTAAAGCACAGGTCATTTGAATATGAATATATGAATAATAGGTTCAAAGGTTTTACCTACTCTCTCAATTTATTAGTTTTCTTGAGAAAAAAAATGTGACATACTAAAAAAATTAAACGTTTCTAATCATGATAAAATTTAGGAAATGATAAATACATCATTGTTTTCATCAGTTGACCTGCATCCAAACTCTTTTCTGATACAAGTTATAAAAGTAATTTGCATAAAATTTATCAGTGTAATGGTTTTAAATGTCTCTTTTTGGTATATAAGAAAAATTTAATGTTGTAAAAGGTCAGAAACTTTGTTGGAAATGTTTAAGTAATAAATATTTTTCTCAAGATTGCAACTATTCACATTTTTGCAGTACATGCAAGAAAAGAATCACTCGTTCTTGCATAGTACCTCTGAAAATATCTCTTCCTCTAGGAACACCAATAGGAAAGCTTTCTTGATTGATCGCGATGCTCAAACTCCCAAACATTCTCAAGGTTTTTCCAGTCGTATCGTTTGCACGTCGACTCAGTTTTCTTATAATACTTACAGCCAAAATGAAGTGTTAAACTCCTTTCGAAGTGTTAAACATTCCAGATTCTCATACAGTCAGTTCTCTTTCTGCTTTATCAGTAAAAACTGACGTATTTTGGCTACCGCTTTAGTGACATTTTATATTAAATATGATAGGCACATGCATACCGGAGCGCTCCAAGATAATGAGAGTCAACATTCATTCATATCTCATTATTTGGTTGAGAATTAAAGCTTGCCCTTTATTTCAAACATTTACAGTTACATTAACCATATCTGAAAACCCCTCACTCTCAAAACTTCTTTTGCTGTTCTCGATAGAATAATCTGCAGCCTTCCTAAAGCTACTCTAGATAGAAGTAAAATAAATGTTCCATATAATCTCACTTACCCACTTATGTTATGTTATTTTTGGTACACTTCTCCTTCATATCTTTTATCGGATTTCAAATTTGGCTTTTTCTCATTCAAATGTTTTCCTCTGTTTAGTTTAAATCCGAGATGAATAATTTAGACAAATTGATGCAAGTTGTGTAATTGCTGTAGCTTTTCTAATTCACAGAATTTCTTATTGAACTATATTTAATTTTTTTAGTTTTTTTTTTTTTTTTAAATTTTTTTCTAAGTCACCTGTTTCGTAGTTATTTCCATTCTTTTGTTGAAATTTGTTGAGTTAGGGAAAATAAGACAGTAAGTAGTTTATAATAATAATTTACTAAATACAAAGCTACCTAAAACATTACAAACAAATTTTGCTGGTTAAACTCACTAAACTTATTATTAAACAGTCGCAACTCTAAAATCCTCTCACAAACAAGTATTCACTCTCTTCGTTACCTTACAAGTATCACACTGAACTTCACAGCAATATCTAAAAGTACAGTTACAATTAACTTTTACTTCTTCCGTGTGCGTCGCATAGCCTCTTCCGCAGCACAATATTCCACAGCCTTCTTCTCCTTGAGAAGTATCGTTGCATACTCTTCCCTGCGTCCCAAATGAACCCAACGTGTTGTTGGGAATACAAAAAGACGGAGATTCCTCCGAGTAAACCAAGTCTCCTCGACCCGGTGGCTTAATCGTCTCTCCTTTGGGCATGAAACTTTGGCCGTCGTTGCCGGCTATTACTTTTGCCGCTCCATCAAATCGTTCCTTAAGTCTGTTACCCACTTCTCGAAATGACGGCATTCTTCTAGTGCAGGTCTTTAGCGTGCAGGAGCCGGAGAGACCGTGGCATTTGCAGACGGTTACCATGTTGTTTTTGACAGCCTGAAACAAAGCAAAAATCGGTTTTAATAACTTTTTAGTAGAACAAAAATCGGATATAGAAAATTACAGAGGAATTAGTTTATTAAACACAACACAAGATTAACATCCAAAGTGATAACGAATAAGCAGAATGAAATTATAACACTAGCAGAAGAACAAGGTTCTAGGTCGAGAAAATCATGCACCGACGCTATTTTTATAATGAGACGAGTAAAAGAGAAATAAACAAAGAGTTACCAGCTGTAGTCCGTCTGAAGAGGTTTACTCTCCGGACACTGGAACTCATTCAAACCATGGGTGTATGTTACCTGAAGCCAAATCTAACTTAAAATCAACCATCACATATTTAAAACAACATTATGTACAATCTTTTGTAACTACATTTATTTTAAAGGGTTTTTACCCAAATATTTTGGTGGCTCAGGCATGTCAACCTAGTGTTTTTTAAACCTGATGATGGAATTGTCCTCTTTGTTTTTAAACCTCTTTTTTTGTGATACGTGGTATACAGCCAGCTGCAGGAATTATTTTCCTTGTGGATTTTTTTTAAAAGAAATTTCTAAGAAGGCATTTGACCGGGTCAAATTAAAGGACGTTATCCACTTAACTCTTAAAATTGTACGCAAGGGAGATACATATAGGAATAATTAAAACGATCAAAAATATCTACTAAAACAACACAATTAAAGTAAAAGTACAAGAAGAACTAACGGACCCTATTGAAGCTGGCAATGAAACAAGACAGGAAGATTCCCTGAGTCCTCTTTTGTTCAAACTTCTTATGGATGAAATAATAATAAAAAATACTACTCTCCCAAAATAAATTTAAAATGTTAATTTCCCCAAAAAACACAAAATGCATGTTTACAACAGCAAATTTACTAAGATGTAAATTAGAGCTGGAAGGTCAGATAATAGAACAAGTGGCGGAATTTAAATATCTAAGCATTACATTACCTAATTAGGGAAAGCTCGAAATAAAAGTGAAAGATCAAGTGAACAGAACAAACAGAGCCGCAGGCTGCTAAAATTAAACGATATGGAGAAATAAAAATATCGTAATAGAAACGAAAGGCAGAATTTACAAAGCAGTCATCAGACCAATATTGACATGCTTGGCAGAAACACGACCTAACACAGAGAGGACAAAAAGGATGTTAGAAACAGCAGAGATGAAAACACTTAAAAAATTGATGGTAGGAAACTATGATATAGAGTTAGAAATACCGATATACGACGTAGATGTAAGGTGGAAAACATCAAGAACTGGGTAAGAAACATTAGACTAGAATAGAACTACCACATAAGCTGAATACTAACAAATAGAGTAGTAAAGACGGCAAGAGACGGTTCCCCAATAGGAAGACGATCAGTAGAATGACCAGGAAAATTATGGACCAACTTACTGGAGGCACATTGAAAAACAGACAGAGTCATGTCTACGTAGAAAAAAGAAGAAGACGAAGAAGAGTTTTCAACTCACAATATTTAAAGGTAACAACACAATATTTGACCAAATGGTGCATTCAACAGATCTTCCGACGATATTTGGCATAGGTAGTATATCACCATTTTCTTCGAGCAGCACATTTGCTTCTTCATAGAGATGGACGTACTCTTCGTCAACTTTATATCGCATAAGTTCAAAGCATTAATAACATTATACACATGGCTGAATACTCCTATAAGGTCTGTATTAATTGCCTTATTGATAATATTGTAGCTTATGACTTTGTAAAAAAAGTGTAGAAAAAATAAGAAATCTAGGTCCGTTGGTGAACGATTTTATAAATTTTATGAAAAAAGTTTTCGTAAACTCTCCGTTGAGGGTGCAAATATACAAAGACAGAATGAACGTGTCAAACACAATTGCTGGACACACCTGCTACAACGGTCGTGCGTGCTGCGGCATCCCTGTTATACTTGTTCTCTGTTTAAAAATACATAGCGGTGACAACCGTCTCGCAAACTTTGTAAAGCCTAGCTAGAATCACTCATTGTATCCTTGTAGACAGATTGTAAAATTAAGTGTATACATTTCAGGCATCTTAGTTCGTATAAGTTGTTTATTGGGGAGAGGTTAGTACCAGCTTAGAGAATAATACAAGTAACGTTCCTCTATTTTCTCCTGTAATTTTTAGGCTTATGTTTGTAACGGAGACAAATAAAAAATTGCGATATTCGAAGACTTTTTAGCCGAAAACCACTAAACTATTTTCCGATAAATATTTTCTATAACAATGTCTGGTAGACTTCCTCTTAAAGTGCCTATCCGTTCCGGATGTTGGCGATCACCACGGATATCTTTACTTTGTTTACTGCAGCGCGGAAGAGTTCAGTGGTAGTCGTGTTATACCACTTTCGTAAATTTTGAAGTCAGGAAATGCGTCTTCTTCCGATCCTCTCTTACCATTTACCTTCCCTTGGAGAATCAGCTGGAGAAGGCCGTAACGTTCTTGATTTCTCGTTACATGTCCTAGATATTCCAACTTTCTGGTAGACCAACCGTCTGGTAGACGCTTCGAACAAATTTTAGATAGCTTTTCAGCCTATAATAAGTAGGAATTTTCTACTGAGACCGATGGATTAGCGAAGGTAAGAAATATTTTAGACTTGTGTATTAGAAATGTTCAATCTGGTTATAAGCCTTCACAACACAATTATCTCTTGATGAATCGTTACTTTTATTTCGAGGTCGATTAGCTTTCAGAACATGTACGAAAAATGAAAAAACTAAACATGGGATACATTTTTATAAACTATGTAGTGCATATGGTTATATCCTAAACAAAGATATATATAAAAACGACAAGGAGAGAACTCGCCTGAGAAAGCTATGTCTAAAACTAAAGCGGTGGTATTAAAATTAATGCAGCCATATATAAACAAGAGATACTATCTATATATGAACAATTACTATAACAGCATATGGCTAACTAATCGACTTCTTCGACATAAAATTCACGTAACAGGTCTTTTTTGAAGAGACAGGCGAGGAAAACCTGCTGTAGTAACTAAAGCAAAATTGGAAAAGACGAGGAAAATTGTTCATTTCAAAGTGAAGAGATAACTGCAAAGTGCTTGCGATTATGACTTTGAATCATCGGAAACTAATAAGATGTAAAAACCAAAGAGAACAAGAAAAAGTAAAACCCAACAAAATATTCCATTATAACAAATGTATGTCTGGAATAGACAGGTGTGATCAAATAATTTCATATTTTTCGTGCCCCAGAAAAACTATTTTCTGGTATGAAAAAATAATATTTCATCTATTAGATATAGCTGTCTTGAATTCATTTTTTTGTTTAAAAATATTAGCAGTCCTAATCCCGCAGCAACAATCGGATTTATCGATTTCAAGGATTTACTTATCCAAAGCCTGTTAGGACTGGACCGTAAAATAAAAGATACGAGAACATTGATTAAGTTTTCTTCACAACATACACCACAAGAAAATATGGCTCTTCCTGGTAATCCTGAAAATTTACCAGTACAGCATTTTCAGGAAACGATACCTGTTCCACAGAATTATATCCGAAATAAGTATTTTCTGCGGTGCAAACAGTGCACAAAAGACGGAAGGAGAAGAGAGACCAGCTACAGGTGTAAAACATGTGCTGAACACCCCCCATTGTGTCCAGGACTATGTTTTGAGTTATAAGCAAATATAAAAGTGTAAATGTATTTTTTTGTATTTTATTTTTTGCATTTTACTGTTTCTAATTTGTTTCTTGAAGTTTATTTATGTTTGGTTTATTAAAATAAATGATTTTGTGTTATAAATAAGCGGACGGTGGTAACCGTCGTATGCTATGATGCAGATAATAACTGTCTTGTAATTAATAAGTGTATGAAATTAAGCCGAATGAAGGATATGTGATTGTTCAGATAGAGGGGATGCGGCTAAACTGCTGTTATATTTCTCCAAACGTGACGCTGGGCGAGTACGAGATAAAGATAGATGAGATTATGCAGGAAGTGGTAAACACAGGAGGAGAATACGTAGTGCTGGGAGATTTTAACGCAAAAGCAGCAGAGTGGGGATCTCCCATCTCCGACACTCGCGGCAGGATACTAACTGACTGGGTGGGTACTCTAGTGGTTCTGAACACAGGTCTGGAACCTACGTTTGTTAGGAGAGGTACAGGTACATACATCGACGTGACCATGGCGACACAAGGAATAGCGGCGAAAGCAAGAGGCTGGAAGGTTTTGCCAGACTACACTGGAACTGAACATCAATACATCGAGTTCTCGATAACTGGAATGGGGACCACTAATACGGTCCGTGCATCCGGGACGTCTGTGGGCAGATGCGGCGATTTAAATGACTGGAAAGTATACGAGGAGCTAAAGAAATGGAGAGTGAGCATAATGGAGGGTCAACCACCGACGGTGGAAAACCTGGAGAGAGTAATTAAAGAAGCGATGGAAGGAAGCAATATTGGTCGCCAAGATGTCAACAGGATGCCATATTGGTGGAATACGGACATCGAGGCACTAAGAAATGTATGTATAGCAATGAGAAGCCATCATTCTGAAGGGGACAAGGAACAGGCAAGGTGTTGAATTGAAATGTGCGGGAGTATGTCTAACACCTAAGAAGCAAGTAAAGTATCTGGGAGTGACATTGCACCAGAGTGGAAAATGGGGAAAGCACGTTCGAGAGGTGGTCCGAAAGGCTGCGAATAGTGTGGCTGCGTTGGGAAGAGTGATGCCGAACATTGGAGGACCCAAATCTGAAAGGAGGAGGGTCTTACACGGTGTTGTACAGTCTATCGTTCTCTACGCAACACCAGTCTGGAGCGAGGTGGTAGAGATAACGGCCTATATTAGTCTTATGAAACGAGTACACAGAACAAGTCTGTTGCGAGTGGCATGCGCCTACAGGACTGTATCTGCGGCAGCCTTATGGACCATCACTGGATGTGTTCCATTGCATGTTTTGGCGGTTGAAAGAAAAGAGCTTTATGAGAGAAGATGCCCAAACATTACTGTAGCTGAGAGAAGACAGGTAAGGGATAGGTCAAATGAAAGATGGCAAGAAGAATGGAACAATACGGAGGATGTGGCACAGTGGACGAAAATGTTGATCCCTAACATAAGAAATTGGGTGGACTGTGGCCACAGGCGATTGGATTATTTCCTGACGCAGGTGCTCACAGGACACGGTTGATTTAGGGCCTACCTTTATAGGATCGGAAAGGCTGATACAGATGAATGCCTATATTGTGGATACTCGGACACTGTGACACATACGATGTTAGATTGCAGCAGATGGATAGTGGAAAGAAACAGAATGGAGGGAGAGACAGGTGTGAATTTTGTTACAGTGAGAGAAATGATTGAGAGAATGATTGAAAATAAATTAGGTTAGATTAACATACACAGTTATATCCGTGCAGTGATCAAGAAGAAGGAAGGGGAAGAAAGACAGCTGGACCAACGGCAAAGGTAGAGTGAATGATGCTGAAAGGTAAAGTTAGAACAGTGGGTCACACTTTTTGAGTTAGAATGCGTGAGTAGAACTGTGGGGAAGGAGGAAATGCCCTTCTGGGAATGATGCCGAATTAGGAGTGTGGATGTGTATGAATGGAAAATGAATGAATAAAGGTAGTGCTTCGGAAGTGATGTCGGCCTTACAGCGGCCATTCCGCTTCCGGATCGCTGGATGACAGAGGAGGGTTTGGTTTAGCAGATAGGCATTCAGCGTAGACTCGGCAACGAGAGGACATTTTAAAGTACCTCGGGAACTATCGCCGGGTGTACGAAGAACGAGTCCTGCACTAAGGTTAGTCAGGCGGCGTCCTGGACTGAGATGTCTTTAGAAGATTCCAGACCCCCCCTCTATAAAGACGAAAAAAAAAAAAGATAATAACTCTCTTGGGTGACGGGAACGGTTATAACCGTCCGTGTTTTTGGCAAAAAAGTATACTTATTACTTCTAGAAACACCTTCCTAAAGGAATTTTTGAAATTTGGCTTTTATATCATTAAATATCCGTGTGACAAGTTTTGGATTGCAATTCGGGAGTATCCAGCAATGTGTTAAACTAGTAATTACAAGATAAGGATCATGGATCGAAGCTTTTTTTTACTTTGAACACTGCAATAAAATAAAAGTAATATCAGAGTTTGATAATAATATTCGAGAAAAAAAATATTAAAAATTGCGGAAATTGAAACATTGCGTATATCAACTACAATTATAAATTAATAGTTACCACAATTGACTTATTAGACAGACACAAGGTAAATTTATGTGAATCGATACAATTATAGTTTATTTTTATGAACGAGAGAGTAATTAGCATAATTTTAACTGGTACCTCCGAGCACTCCATGGGCGTGCTCAAGATTATTTGAAAAATTACTTTGAATAATTGTAAAAAATAAATGAATTATTTCAGTGTTATAAAGTGTTATGTGTATGTAAACCAAAGTGACCTCTTTTATCACACACTATATTAGAACTGACTGGCCTACATTAAAAAGGGTTTTAAAAAATTCACATTTTTTTAATTTTTAAAAATTACAAAAGAGAAAAAGAGTTTTTAAAACCGTCTAAGGTATGTTAAATAGATGAATAAAAATATTAATATAAAACTTACAGCTACTTGTTACAAATCCAAATCAGATTCAGAAGATGAACTTTCAGAAACAAGATTGATAATAACTGGCTCGATCATTTTATCAGTAATATTGTCCAGCTTCCACATTTTTTCCTCTTCTTTAATAGTGTGATTTACTGCCTTTTCCCAGTTTTCAGGTTTTACATTATTTACGGCCTCCAAAAACAACTGTTTAACATCATGAATTTTAAAAGTGGTATTTTTTCTTGAAACTTCACTCTTTATCTGTGCCTATACCAGTTCAATCGGGTTTAATTCACAATGATATGGTGGGGATCTAAGTACTGTCATTCCACGATTTTTGGCAATTTCATCAATTTCGTATTTTTTAAATTTTTCTTTATGAAAGGCACACAACGAATAAAGTTCCTTTCTTATAGATCCGGGATGGTACGTAATATTTTTTGAACTCAGCCAATTCTGCAAGTCTTTTTTTAACCACTTGGTTGTGGGCAGTCCTTCTATAAGTCTGGAGCGATAACTTGCATTATCCATTACTATTACACAGTTCTTAGGAAGAAGATCTATCATTTGTTCGAACCATTCTTGAAAGACATCAGCGTTCATGTCTTCATGGTAGTTACCGGTACGAGTTGATTCAAAAGTTAATAAACCACCTTCAACAAAACCGTCTGAACTGCCAATGTGTACTATTATCAGCCTGCGTCCCTTTCCTGATGGTGGGTTTAAACCAGTAGATAAGTTATTTACAAAAGCGTGCCTTTGACTTGTAACAGTTTAATCCTGCCAAAATTTATTTGGTGTATGACCCTCGTTGATCCATGTTTCATCAAGATAAAATATTTTTCTTTTTTGGTTTCTCATTTCCTTTATGGTTCCTAGAAAATGTCTTCTCCATATGACAATATTGCTTCTTTCTAATAAAATAGACTTTCTGGGATCCTTTTTCCAGCGGAAGCCTATTTCTTTTAAAAGTTTCCATAACGTACTTCGACTCATTTCTGGATAATCCTTATCATCTCGAACTGAGACAAGAACTTTATCCAATGTTGGAAATTCTTGTCTAAGGAAGAATTCATGCACTTTCCGTCGAAGTCCTTCTTTAAAATGATATTCTATTTGAAATTTTGGTTTCCCTGGAGCATTACGTGGCATTTGAAAACTACCACATTTCTCTTCTTTAATAACTCTGTAAATCGTAGATTTCCCAACACCAAGTGTACTGATAACTACCTCAACGGTCTCATCAACACTTTCACATAAACGTTTGTCTGTAAATGATTTAAAACAATTAAATATTAATGTATTTTCAATAACTGATAAAGGACCAATTTTTCGGCGTTTACACGGCACTTCCAAATTTTCCATAACACTAGTATACACAATAAACTGCACCTTGCAACTGAAGTACCTACTTTTAGTGAATTGATAAGAATTTTGAATACGCTACTTGGACCTTCCTACAAAATGGAAAAACCCACTATCACATTTTCTGTGGAATAAGTTTAGAAGGTAATTATCTAGTCAATTACTGTCGTAGATTCCTGGAATTAAAGAATTAAATGTTTGATTGTTGAAACCGTTACTTCGTGGAATGCACTCACTTCAGATAAAATAAAACGTTTTATTTTATCTAAAGAATTAAACTTTATTTTGCAAATAGGTAGGTACTTATTAAACTTTTATTGGTTATATATATAACCAATAAAATAAACATCTTACATTTCTTGCAAATTCATTAGTACCTGTTAACCTCCATCACTCCGACACTGGCAACCTTATTTAGGAATTAGTAACCCTCACAACTATTGTATTCTATTCTGCTCCAACCTTTATACCTGGTGGTCATACTCAATTTAAAATTGTTTTCCTATATACTTCTGTAAACTTGTTGACAAATATCTGTTTTTCATTGAGTCACCCGTAACAACCGTTTAGGGATTTGCATACATAATTTATTGTTTTATTACTCTCTCATACATAAAAATACACTATAGTACATAACTTAGAGTCAAAAATTAAATCAGCAACTGACAAGAATAAACGTTTTTTGTTTTTTTTTTTCTAATGCCACTAAAGTTTTGAATGGGATATTTTTAGAGAAATTACAAATTGAGCCAGATTTATTATTTGCCCTAAAATATGCTCCAATTACATATGTCGATGTAGAACCAATTACATATGTCGATGTAGAACGTTCGTTTTCAATGAACAACTTAATTTTAAAGACCAAAAATATTTAAAAGCATTTAGTTCTAGGTATTAATAATAAAATGTTTAATGGTTATAATGTTTAATTATTAATTAACAATTATTTAGTTATTATTTTATTATCTTATGTTGTGTAAATATATTTGTGTTAAGTTAATATTAACAAAATTGGCTAAATCACCTAAATATTAATAACTTAAGCCAAAAACTCACCAACCGTCCCGCTACATAATTGTGTAATTTCACTAATGTTTTCATATCACTACTTCTTCTTCTGTATCTGGTATCCAAGAAATCTTTGGATTTCTTCATCCCGTATTCTATGTTCTCCCCACAACCGTCCCACTCCCAGTCCCCTTCGGGCAACGGTGGATTCTTTCTTCGATTATTTTTCCTCCGTTTTCTCTTTGAACAGGAACAACCAATTTGCTCTCCTCTCGTACAGGCCCTTGTTACTTGAAAGGTGATACCTGCTGCGATAATGGCATTCACAAAACCAGTTTCCCTAGTATCTGTAACAACAAAATATTTCGTTAAATATTACATTAAGAACAATTACATAAAAAAAACATGGATTAATAATTTTAGGGTAGAGAATCCCTAGCAAATTAGGCAAGATGTAGTGGCGGTCAGATGCGTCATACCTATTGGGACCGTGCAAGTTCGGAACAGCGACACCTGGTGTCGTGAATCAGCAAAATGTACTGCGCTTTTATATTATATCGAGGTTACCGGATAACTGTCAAGGACGTAGTCCCAAAAAAGAATAAGAAGAAAAACTAAGATTGAGGTTATGTCGGTATGTTATTAAAAGGTAAACGTTGTATGTAGTGTAAATACAAATTAATATATTATTAAATTTCAGCATTACTGTTAATATGGATGCAATAATAAAAACTGGTTTTGAGAAAGTAAATCACCAAATAACTTTTCAACCAAGCACTGAGTCAAAGGGAAAAGCTTTAGTAGTGGCAAATGTCAAAAAAGAATGGAAGAATTAAGAAAAATAAATTACCATAAATAATGCTAATGCATAAATTAGCAGGTTAAGCCCATGATATCATCATATTGGTTTGAACAATTAATTCTTTCCCTGTAAACTTTTGGACAGCGATTATAATATATCTTAATGCATCTTCAGAAAAACTTGAACTTGATGCAGTTTTGTAAACTTAAAAAAAAAAATAATAAAATTTAAACATTAAACTTGTTTTTTGGGTTAAAATGAACTTTAAGTGAGTGTTATGAAACTAAAATTTACACTTAAAAGTGAACTTTTATTTATTATTTATTTCAAACTGACTTTAAAATCGGGCGCAAGAATAATGCATTATTTAGGTTATGCTACTTATGCTTTTTTATGATATAAATCCACTTTTCTCTTTGTAGTAATTTGTGCCTTGAAGTTGGAAACGAATAAACCTTAAATTGACAATTTTTTGTTCTATTTTTACAATTTATAACACAGCATTTCCTAAAGCCATTTTCTTCAGTGACAGAAGGTGTAAATAAACAAACGAGTATGAAATATGACAATTGACAATATTAATTTATGAAATCTATGAAATGTGCAGTAAAAAATGCAAGATTTCTCCGCTACTCGCGCACGATCGTTTCTCGTATCACATCCAAGTACTTGCACGTCGCCAATAGGCGGGACTGAATAGCTAAAGCTAAAAGGAAGTAACAAAAAAAATAATTAGTGAAGTAGAATAGGTACAATTTTTGGTTGAATACTATTTTTTTCTTTGAATAATCCGATACTGTATTAATTTAGCACATCAAAGTGAAACACAAAACGACAATTGTTAACAAAAACAATTAATTCTCAAAAAAAAAATGATATTGATTCTGACGTTACAAAAAATTAAGTAAGTATATATACGTTTAAACTAATATACTATTTAATTACTATAAATATAATTGCTATTGTCAATTGCCAAATAAATCTAATAATAAATTCATTAGTACTAAATTAAAAGTATCATTCATAATTATTAGTGATTTGAATGAATATATGTTGAAAATAATATACGAAATGTTTTTGTTTTTAGTGGAATAAAAGCGTCATCTACACCCGCCCAAAATTCAGAGTTTAGTACTAAATTCTCTACTTCTTACTACTAAAGTCTGAAGATCTATTATTTTGCAGTTAAGGACCTTCGGGAGTAGTTCGAAATAAATCCCTAAACCACCCGTAACTTGCTACCAATTTGTCGTCAGCAAGAAAATATTTTAGATTCTGTGCCAGTACAGCTAAATGACTATAATGTCACAAGAACAACTTTCAAATACAATTCTTCTTCCTTGTATGTTTTGAGATACTCGTTCACATTTGTAAATATTTCTAGTTTTTGCTCCATAGTTTCAACTTTTAACAAAAAAAACTTTATCACTGGAATTAGATATATTATGTGTATTTGCTCCTTGAAGCTGTAAATGCAAAGTATTTAATTTCTCTATGTCTTATCATATATATTAATATGTCTACCAAGTAACTCAATTTCATTAAAAATAAAGGATCTCGAAACTTTTCGGCTTTCGGGTAATTTTTCTGGTCTAGAAACGTAGAAATTTCCACTTTAAAACTCATAAGCACATTTTAAAAATTTCTCACACAATAACCAATATTGGTCCCCAATAAAACAGCAATGTCAACTGTTCTGCATCAATATCATTGCAAAGTGCATTAAAGCTTCTTGATTTTAGGGGTCTCATTTGTATATAATTTACTACAGTTACGACAGTCCTTAACATAATGTTGAAACTACGACTCATATCTTTACAATTCTCTAAAATTCTTTAAAAGTCTCTCTGTGGGTCACACAATTGGTCCAGACACATTGCGGAGATTTTTGTTTTACAAGTGCTTGTACCTACACTTTAGAATCTTCCAGACATTGTATGAGTACCATTGATTCATATTCTACCGCAATTCTTCTCCTGTACGTTTACCTCATTAATAAAATCACATAAAATATCAAACAAAGTGAGTGCTACTGCTATAAGTTCTAATAATTTACAGAAAGTTGTTTTTCTACTGCCGATATTCCAAAACAAAATCGGACATAGGCAATTAAACGAAGGCCCTTATTGATACCTGTTGCCACGTCAAGCTGAATCGAAAACAATTTCTCACGCAACTTTTCTGATGCTGAAAACCTTTGGCTATATCGTCAATTCGACGGGCGACAGTGTCATTTAAGAGAGGTATGGATTGTAATTTATAATATATAGCACTGAAGTGATTCCAGCAGACTGGCTCAAATCCATCTTTGTTACAATACCTAAAAACACAATGCTAGAAAATGCTCAAATTATCGGTTAATTAGCCGAATAAACCACACTCTTAGTATTCGTCCAAGAATACTTTACAACAGAACTAGACTCAAATGCGAAGGATATCTAAAATATCTAAATCTAAAAGAATTGGTTGTTCTTCTACTAGTGTTATAATTTCATTCAGTTTATTTGTTATTACGTTGGTTGTAAATCTTAGTGTTCTGAATAATAATTTAATTCCTCTGTAATTTTCCGTGTTTGTTACCGAGTTAAACTTACTAATCATTTATCAAGTTCGTATACCCAAGATAACGGAACTCCCCAAGGATCAACAATTAGTGTAACACTTTTTTTGATTGCAATAAATGAAGTTGTTGATAACATTAATACTCCTGTCCAAATTGGTTTATATGTAGATGACCTTGTTCTTTATGTAAGCAATAGCCGGATAGCTGCAACTATTCTGTAAGAGTCCATCAAATCTTTAAAAAAAGTGGTCAGAGAGAACAGGTCTTCGTTTTTCTACAAACAAAACAAAAGCAATATGTTTTTCAAGAAACAAACAAACCAATTTGGCCAAAATTAACACTATATAATCAAAATTTGCAGTGTGTAGAAGAACATCGATTTTTGGGAATGATATTAGATACAAAACTCACTTTGAAAACACACATTTAACAACTCAAAAATCTTGCATGCAATATATGAACATTCTCAAAGTATTAGCCAATCATAATTGGGAAGCTGCTACCTCACAATTACTAAATATATATATAAAAAAGATTTGTAGCAAGCTAGATTATGGATCAATAGTCTACAGTTCAGCTAAAGATAGTTTATTAAAGCAATTGGACATTATACAAAATACCGCATTAAGGCTGGCACTTGGAGCCTACAGGACCAGTCCAGTAGAAAGTCTTTATGTAGAAGCTGATGAACTACCTCTTTCAATTAGAAGACATAGACTAAGACTAAAATATGCAGCGAAAATTGGAGCAAACTCTAATAACCCAGCTTACTCATGCACATTTTCTGACAATTTTCATTTAATTTTTGAACAAAAACCCAGTCTTTCTGCATCATTTAGTAAAAGAATCACAGGTTACAATTTCCCGAAAAATATTTCCAATGAAATAAAATATCCTGTAGTACCTGACAAGACGATGTACGATGGACTCCTACGCATAAATGCACAGCACTTTAGGAAGAAGAAAATACCCTCCTCCTTGGACCATAAAACTCCCCACATGTAATACAAATCTTCTACCGTATCGTAAAAATTAATAGTTCATTACATATAACTCTACAGCGGTTTCAAGCGATTAAAGACAAGTACAAAAATATTACCAAATATATACAGATGCGTCAAAAACTGAAATAGAAACGGTAGGCACAGCTTTCGTTGACGAAACAATTAAATATCAGTTCCAGCTACCTAAGGAGTACTCCATATATTCCGCCGAATTGTATGCCATATCTAAAGCCCTACAACGTATATCAAACCAGCCGAAACTTTTACAGATCCTTTAAGTGCATTAAAATTGATCTAGAACTTTACAGTAAGAATAAAAGGGTAGAATTTGTTTGGATTCCATCTCATGTACGCATAATAGGTAATGAAAAGTCTGATCGAGAAGCTAAAGAAGCCTGCTATACGAATAGACCAGATAAGAAGCTCCTAGAAATTCCTTATTCCGACATTCAAAACACGATTAAATAATTTTCAATGAGAATATGGCTCGAAAGATGGAAAAAACTTGACGACAATAAGCTACAACGTATCAACCCAAATTTGTCACCAAAAGGGATAATGCCACAAAAACGACGAGATCAAGTCATACAACACCGCTTAAGAATAGGACATACCAGGTTAACCCACCAGTACCTAATGAAGAAAGAACAACAAAAACTGTGCTATGTTTGTGATATTCCTCTGACAATCGAATACATTATTGCTAGTTGCCCACTCTATCACCTGAAACGACTTCAAAGTGATTTACCAAGTGATCTGAAAAGTGCTCTGAACTATAGTAAATGTGATAAAGTGACTAAGTTTCTAAAACTAACTAAATTGTACAATCTAATATAAAAATAGACTTCAGTTATCAATTGTAAATAGTAGTTATAAGCAAACATCTCATTTTATGTACAACTCTTTCCCCCAATAACCTTTCATGGTTGACGCGGTTTACTTAAAAAAACAAAAAAAAAACTAACAGTACAATGTAAA